TCTATATTTTTCCTATTTAAAACTTGACTTTTCTGTAGTTACATCGTGTACTAAGACCGACGGAAAATTAAACGTTGTGATTTTCTAGGCTGATATGGCTAGGAACTATACTCTCATTCCGCCGTAATAATCAAGGAACTTTGCTGCCGTACCATGGGTGCAGCAGGCGCAATGATATTACACAGTGCCTGAAAATAGTCCCAGCTAGGTAACTTCCAATAAGCCTATTTCAGGCACTGCGTAATATCATTGTGCCTGCTGCACCCATGGTACGGCAGCAAAGTTCCTTGATTATTACGCCGGAATGAGAGTATAGTTCCTTAGAATACTCTTAGGAACACTTGAGCGGTTCACTCTCTACGAAAATGAGTGACTAAACTTGCTCCCTTTGCTTGCAAATTGTCAGAAATTTGTTGTCTAGCGAGCAGTCAGTGAACAAGTGTGCCTTAGGTACTGACATTAGCTTTGGTGCTGCACCTGAGTGCTGTTTTACATACAGATGGCAGTGAGGTTTTGGAGGTCAGAGGCTGGACACATACACCTTCTCAATGGCTACCAGAGGAAACTGAAAAACCAGTCTGTTTCCTATTATTTGCATAGGTAATTTAGCATGTAAAGGTCTACATTAGAACAACCCCTATTTCCAAAACAGTATATTAATCCAGAATATCAATCAGCAATGGGTCGAGCTCTTAATCCACAGATCATCCATCTGCTCTAGGCTCATGCTCCCAAACCAGTACACAAATTTATTAAAGTCTTTATAAAAAAAAGTTCACAGCGTAAGTTCACCAGTTTTCAACTGGCTTTGTATTGTAACAATGTTGGTAGTATAAATAAATGAACAACGTGTATTATTTTTCTGTTACCTGGACCAAGATATCCGCCAATATTTGTAAAACTTGTCATCCAATCTCCAGGGCTTTCATTAAAACTACAGATTTCAGCATTTTTATATACCCGCTCACAGATACAGTAGCCTGATCAAGCCCAGTGCATTATGGGTGCTGACGTTTTTTTACCACAGCTATTTTCCTCAGTTTTCTCTAGTTGTGTAGCACTGATTTAAATGTAATCTAAGTAAGTAATGTAAAACATAGAGACCACATGTGTAGGGGAATTCCCTAAATCCTATAAGTGCCTAGATGCAAGTGGGTATTTAGGCCATGTCCACACGTACATGGGTATTTTTATAAACTGAGATTTTCCTTCTTCCATTTAAAAAAAAAAATCTATGTCCACATGAAACGTCTCCAGTTACTATCGTAACCTCGGTTCCCTGAGAGCGGGAACGAGACATCATGGAGACATTTCTCCATTATGGGAACTCCTTCCCTTCCAACCTTTCTGAAGTCCTATTAGCTCACGCCAGTCCAAATGACTGGCCAATTGTTATGACGCATGCAAATCGCATGCAAATACTGACAAGCTCAAGAGGCAGTATAAATTGCGGTGCATGCATCAATTACGTCAGAATCTGATACTGAACGCCGCTTAGCTGGTCGAGCAGCGAACACGGCGAAGTCCGTGATTGTCTTGTTCCCGCTCTCAGGGAACCGAGGTTACGTAACCTCACCACGGCTAATTGGCCTAGTAACCGGAGACGTTCCCTCTCGAGCTTTCATGAGACATCACGGAGACATTTCTCCGTTATGGGAACGATATTCAATCTAGCCATGAGAGAGGCTACGAGCAGCCTGTACAAGTCACATACCCAACGAAGATAGAACACACACACATACACAATTCCCATAAGCAATTGTGACGCTTGTAGGCGGGCTCGCAGCTGATAGGTGGAGATAAGCCAATGAGCTTCTAAAACACAGGTATACTAAATCTGGTCAGTAATAACGTAGGCTGCGCTGAGAACAGGGCAGACACAACAACGGTACTGGAAGGGCTGCACAGAGATTACTGTGCTAAAGCAGCATAACACATAACATGATAATGGTAGCACAAAGTGAATCAGACATGAATAACAGGAAGCTGCACTGAGTACAGTCTCTTTTGGGTACCACGAAATAGCGGCTGTAAAACCCGCTATCCAGCTCGCTCGGCGGGACTCGCTCTATCGCTCCTTTTTCAAGCAGACTGCATACCTCTTGTCTCAGAACCGGGTCATTTCGAGGCAATGTTAGAGACTGCACTACGCCATTGAAACGGGGTGGTCTGCGTCTGAATTGAAGGGTATACCCACGCTCTATCACACCGATTAGCCAGCACGAGATTCCCAGAATAACTTCCCACGTGCTCAGGAACTGACATAGCGGCTTTAGCGGCTTGGTCGTTGGATGCACCGGCGAGTGCTGCGCGACTATAACCTGTGTGGGCGGTGGCTGCGCACTGCTCTGAGGCAGGGCGAGTGACACCGCATTGCCTGAGTGAGGAGGAAAGAGCTCTTTTTGTGAGAATGTATGCATTTTTATTGAATGAACATCCAACACACAAACATTTGAACACATGAACTTGTGGCGCTTGGGAGCCGGTCCGCTCGCGCACTCTCCTCCTCTCTTCAGACCGTCAGGACGGCGGGCGAGAGTCACGTCGCGGGCTCCTCCGCTGGCCGTGGCACTTCCTCCTGGGACCCCACGCCTTCCTCTGGACATCCGGCTCCTGGCTAGGAGCAGTAGCAGTCACCGCCGCGGTCGCTGGCCTGGGGTTATCCCTCCCTTGGGAAGAGCCAGGTGCCGACGAGGACCTGGATCTCGCCGTCTGCTGCTGGAAAGTGCGCCTTGGCATCACTTGACTCATGGCTTTGGAGCACTTTTGAGCCTCCGCGAAGCATTCAATAATGGACTCCACGGCGTCACCAAAGAGGTGACATTCAATAATGGACTCCAGGGAGTCACAGGAGCGTTCAGCAGCACTTTACGGTCAGCATCCTTGAGGTCAGCCAGGTTTAACCATAGGTGCCTCTGAAGGACGACCATAAAACCCATGACCTTACGCACGGCCTGGGCCGCTCGCTTCGTCGCCATCAGCGCCAAGTCTGTCGCCGCGTGCAGATCCTTAATGGCCTCCGCAGTGAGGGCTCCGCCCTCCACCGCCTGCAGGAGCTTCACCTGGAAAACCTGCAGCACCGCCATGACATGCAGCACGGAAGCCGCCTCGCCATCAGACACATACGCTTTATTAACGAGGCGGGCGGTGGTCCTGCACGGCTTCGAGGGGAGGCTGATGTCCAAGCCTAGGGTCTTGGCTGCTGCAGGACACAGGTGTGCAGCGACGGTCTCCTCGACGAGGGGAGAGTGCACGTACCCGTGGGCCTCCGCCCAATCCACGTGGGAAAAGATGGCCTGTGTGGCAGAGTGGACGCGCGCTGATTGGGGCGCAGACCATGGTTTAACCAGCTGCTCGTGTACGTCGGGGAAGAAGGGGACCGACGCCCTCGAGTCAGCTTTCCGGGTGGACCTGAAATACCAGGAGTCGAGCTTACTCCTGGCAGGCTCCTCTGGAGGACCCCAGGTAAACTCCAACTCCTGGACAGCCTTCAACAGAACCCTCATGAGCTCCTCCTTAGACATGAAATACTTCTGGTATGCCAACATATCCTGCGATCCATGCTAGAAAATCTAACATTTTTAAATCGCCATTTTGCTAAACCCTTCATAATTATCATGCATGAGGCTTTATGACCTTTTTATGTATTGTATTATTGACCTTGTATTAATTATGAGACTATACAGTGCTGCAGCTGTGATGTCAAAACCTGAGAGACCAATTTGGATTTCCTTGAGATTTTCCTATGGGTTTTTATCATGGAATTTTTCAATTAATGAGTAAAATAAAGTCTCAGGTAAACAAAACTTGAGGGTACTTGGCCATTTGTGCATTAAAAACAAAAATAACATAACCGTTTCAAAATTCTAATTTCAGTATGGGTGTATGTTATTTACATTATAGAGAAAAACATTGAAATATCATAAATTTATATTTACAGAGCAGACCTTGTTTTACTCATGAAGTGAAAAACACCTTTAGAGAAATCTCAAGGGGACCCATGGCTTCCAGCTGCAGCACTTCATATACAGCATTTGTATTTTTTTAAATTAAAAAAATCATCTGTCATGCTGCATAACTATTCAAAATGAACTAGCATCAACAAAAAGGTGTTAAAAATGGTACACAAAAAAGGCTTAGAAGAAATTCTGATGTTCTGACCTAATAATCCACGATCCCAAAAAATTTACAGAGCAGACCTTGTTTTACTCATGAAGTGAAAAACACCTTTAGAGAAATCTCAAGGGGACCCATGGCTTCCAGCTTTTGACATCACAGCTGCAGCACTTCATATACAGCATTTGTATTTTTTTAAATTAAAAAAATCATCTGTCATACTGCATAACTATTCAAAATGAACAAGCAACAACAAAAAGGTGTTAAAAATGGTACACAAAAAAAGGCTTAGAAGAAATTCTGATGTTCTGACCTAATAATCCACGATCCAAAAAATAATAATCATGACAGCACAATCTGCAAGATGCTCTTTCTACAAAACACACCAAGAACAAACAGGTTTATGCCTGCAAGATGATGAAATAAAGACTGAAAGAGAATAGTTAAAGTGATCCAACACTGAGCCTAATGTTGATTCTTCAAAGAACTGCTGGAGTAAATCAAAGCCTGTCACAAGCTGCTCTATCACGCTCAGTGCTTGATGAATGCCTCCAGCTTAAAGCAACTTCCTGGCCATCAATACACTTGAGAAGATCACTTTATGGTCCCTTTATATGTTATAGCACAAGTATTTTAGGAAAACCGGCACCACTCATTTCACACATGAAATCTCATCAGAAAATACCAATATCACTTACCATTTGAAGACCCCTCAAAATGCACACTTAATGCACATCAACTGACTAAACGTTTAAATGAAGAAATCAGAGAAATAGCTCAATGCAGGCCATTTAAATGTCATAAAAACTTAGTCCAGTGAACAGCTTACAATCTCTCCCAGCGATTCACGAAATAGCGCGTGAATGAAATCGCCGCAAACTTACGTGAAAACGAAGAATAAAGTAGTGGATCCCACCAGAAGGGTGGCGGCAGTGGACACCGGGATGTATTTGGTGGGTTTAAATCTTTTTCCAACGCTGTTGGGCATTCTGTAAATCCCACATTCCTCGTTTATTTGATCCCTATCGTTAGATGCACGCAAACACGAACACAAACCCTGCACCGTTCCGCGCCAGCCGGCTAAACGCGTATTCGCTCCGTCACATACACCGTTAAATCGTGATCCTTGAATACGAGATCGGGAATACGAGACTGAAAATCCCACCCAGCTCAGTTCAGCCCACTGCTGCTGAGGTCACTGCAATGCTTGAAAGGTGGAGCCTTCGCTACGCACATAGAGGAGGCGACACGCGCGCGCTGCAGAGGGGCCTCGGCTGGTCGCGTCTCGAGGCTTTTGCTGTGATCACACATATGGGGTGTACTATATGCACTTTTTGCTGATTGCCATACACACACACACACACGCACGCGTGCTCACCGCTTCTTACTCAAGGGGAAATCACGAATGAAGCATAAGACACATCTGAAAACCTTGCTCAAAATCATATTAATCAAATATAAAGGTCTGGAAGACTGAGTTTGGTGAGCGGTGCCCAATGCAAAACTAAACTTTCAATGTTTTGTGGGTATGAGGTGTGATTTGGTGTCGTGTTCCCTCTGGTGGCAGATTTGGAGAATTATCCCGTTTACCGCATGCGATCCGTCTTGATTTCGGAAACATTTTTGCGGGTGTCGCGTAAACAGTCACGTGACCACAATGTTACAATAATTAATTTTTATTTAGTCTTTTATCCAAAGCGACTTACAAATGAGGACAACAGAAGCAATCAGTTGTAGTATTAAAACAACTAAAAACAGATCCAAAACTAAAAGCTACAACTTTATAAATACTACCTATACACATTTTAAAAATAAAGAAAGTAAATAAAAATGACAAATGCATACAACAACTTAACATTTAAATGAAAAAAATTAAAAATAAAGCTAAAAACAATAATAAAATATATTGTGTAACTATATTATTTGTTTAAGATTTATAATCATTGTACAGTGTGGTTTTGGACGGGCAATAAGTCATACAGTAGATACACTTCTGTTCAAAAGTTTGGGGTCAGTAAGATGTTTTAACGTTTTTGAGTCTTCTATACTCACCAAGACTTGAAATATATAAACATATTTTAAAATGTCACTTATTCCTGTGATGGCAAAGCTTAATTTTCAGCAGCCATTACTCTAGTCTTCAGTATCACACGATCTTTCAGGAATCTAATCTGAAATGCTGATTTAGTGCTTAAGTAACATTTACTATTAGCAGTGTTGAAAACAGTTGTGCTGGTTAATATTTTTAGGATTTTTTTTGACGAATAAAAGGTTAAACAGCCTTTATTTAAAATAGAACCTTCTGTGACATAATAAAAAATCTTTACTGTTACTTTTGATCAATTTAATGCATCGTTGCTGAATAAAAGCATTCATTTTTTCCAAAAAGAAAAATATTACTCATCCCAAACTTTTGATCAATAGTGTAAATGTATGCTGGTGGTTTTGTATTAAATAACATTACAGTTTTAAATTAATATCATTGCAATATATTTGTTATTCAGTGGGGTTCAAAACTGTTTTTTTTTTTCCTCAGGAGAACTTCATAACCCCTGCAGTGTTTGCAGAGATCCTTTACAACAACTACCTATTTGACATTCCCAAAATTCTGGATCTGTGTGTGCTGTATGGGAAAGGAAATTCCCAACTGCTACATAAAATGATCGGTACACCAAATCGAGTAGTATCATAGTATATGTATATAATAAAAATTTAAAAAACATAAATATCTTAAGAACCCACCTGATTTTTTTTAATCACTCACAATGGTTTCCATATTTAAAACTAAAATTTCATACTTTACTTTTTTTTTTTTTCCCAGAGAACATTTTTACTCAACAGCCCAGTTATTATGGAGACCTAAATGAGACTATACCTTCAATCAGCCAGGTAGTTCATGTGATCATGAGACATTTCTAAATGCTTTGATTCATCAAATTCAGCTGAACTTCCTAAAATCTCTGCGTGTACATTCTAGGTGTTTGATACGATAATACAGATGTGTGGTATTCAGTCAGAGGACACAGGAACTGGTCAACCCCTCAAACTCAATGCAAACAAATGCCAAACTGCCATGACCATGCCAGAGGAGGTGACCAAAACGAAACTTTCTTAAACTTTTTAACAAATACAGAGACACATACTGACTCTAACTTTAATTCACACAGTGTCCTGAAAGAAGGAAATGCAATGATTATATTTATATATGGATTATGTCTCATAGGAGCTTGCAGACTTAGTGTTGTACATGTGTGATACTTGCACTACTATCCACTCTTTCCTGGACATCTTCCCTGAAGCTTGTTCTACCTTCAAACAACACAACTTTCTTAACAGGTCACAAAAACATCCGCACCATCCAAACTATAATTCACACAGTGTCCTCAAGGACAGAAATTCATAGCTGTTATTACTGATACAAAAATAATGAATGAAGCATCTTTCAATGTAGACTATCGTCATTCTATGAGATGGCAGTTCCAGACCTGGAGAAAGCTGTGAAGAAGAGAAATTTCAATGAAAGGTTAGAATGGCTGACGTGTTCTCTTAGAAACATACTCGCACGCTTTCGTGAATTTATACAGATTGGTTACACTAGATGCAATCTGTCTCAGTTTACAGGAGGGCATGTGGAGACGAATATCCCATTCAAGAAAGAAAATGGTAGAGATTGCTCACCTGCTGCTCCAACACACGTGTTTACAGCCCATACTGGAGGGGTGAGATGCTTTAAAACCACATTAGATAAGCAAAGATAGGAATGAATACCATATATGCCATGTTTCATTCATTTTCACAGCACTGAAAGCATGGCATCCTGCATAGATGATCTTCTACAGAACTTCACAGCTTTCCTTCAAGAGAAAAGGTAAATTATGCAGAAATTTCTCAGCAAGGTCATGGTTGTGTATGTAATCGATCACAGCCAATGTTTCTCTCTTTATCTCTCAGATTCCTGGCAGATTATGATGAACAGTTCTCTATAGCAGATGACATCAGTCTCCTTCAGCAGGCCTTCCCTCATTTGTATCCTTTACTGTAGTCCAGTGGAACACTGTGTACTGATTTCCAATGGAATTAAAGGGGAAGCATTCTGCCATCTTCCAGGCTTCTACTAGAGAAGATGACATCTGATTCCAGAAATAAGCTGTCCTAATTTCTAATTGTTTTCCTCTGCGCTTCATAATTAATGGTGCACTGATACCAATACTGGTGCTCATTTCCTGTAATACCAATATCCGATACCATGTATGCATAGCATTAATTTAATGAATGTTGCCATGCCAGTGGGGTTATTGCAGCATTAGCAATGTTTATGCTGTCAATCCACTGTCAATTTAAGCTGTAGTGCAAGTAGAGTACCACAAAGCTCATTCTGCCTGACTTGCCTTCAAAATCTCAAAATCTTGCCTTGTCACAGAGAATCAGAATAATGCCCGTTTTCAAAAGCTTTTAAGCTCCTTTCTATGATTTTCTGCTATTCTCCTTGATCTGTCCACTCAGAGACGACACCAGGACGTCTTACCTTTTGCAGGGTGTAGAGTCTGCTTGGGAGTGCGTGGGGAAAAAGAGAAGCTTCCCCTCATCAGCCAATCACAGCGCAGGAGCCACAAGCAAGACTGGCAGAGATTTAGCAGCTTCCCAGAAGGAAGGAGCAGGAGTGTTGGGAGACAGAGAAGAGTTGAGAGGAGCGGAAGCTATGACTGATGCCCCCCGTAAGGGTGACAACGTGAGTTCATTAGCTGCTAATATATTTACAACAGTATGTTGCCTGGTAAAATAAAGGTATTTTTTTTACCCTCTTTTTTGGGTCCTGTAGGGGGCAGTGTGCACAGTGAGTGCTGGAGAACTGGAGTCTCTGCTGTCCCAAATCCGAGACCTGCTTCCGGACTTGGGAGAGGGATTCATATTGGCATGTTTGGAGGAGTATGGCTACAATTCTGAACTTGTCATTAACAACGTCCTGGAAGATAAACTGTCTCCTTCTATTGACAAACTGGACAGGACAATGGCCAGGTAAAGTTCAACTGAAATGTCTAGGATTTATGGTTCAATTCAGGTCCACTTCATTGTTGCATACTGGCCCTGTAATGTTTCCCTGTAGGCCCGCAAAGAAAGAGCTTCCCTCAGTTTTGAGCACCAGATCAAACGTGTTTGACGATGATGAGTTCGACGTGTTCAACCGTGACCAACTGGACAGGAGTCGCATTTGGAAAGGCCGGAGGTGAGTTCTGTGATCCCAAGTTAGAATTCAGTATCAACTTTTCCCAAAAAGCATTACCCTATCCTGCCCTGCAGTACATTACTCTAAATTTAGTCTGATTATTTAAATGAGCTGCTGAATATTTAATGCCTCCACTTGGTCAAGAGAAAATAGTCTTTGACAAGTACAGCGTAAACTGACATCAGAACCGTGTGAAAGTGGGCTTATGAAATATTCAGCTCAGGCTGTGAAAGATGGTTTGTGTCAACTAGAAATGAATATCTCTGCATTTTTCAGACAGGGGGAGAGTGTGCGTGCCACGCTCGATGACAAGCAGCACATAGAAGAGCAGAGAGCGAGATATCAAGCCTACCAGACAGTGGTGGATGAGATTCCCATAGAAAATGACCCCTCCAGAGACCATGATGATGCTTTTGGCACATATGATTATGATGACGAATATGACGACACGTATGATGTCAACCAAATAGGAGCCAATGATCTGGATGAAGAGGATGAACTATTGAACCGCAGGTATGAGCTGTGACTGATGTACATAAACTTGCATCTCTCTCTAATGTGGCTGATCAAAATGGGTTTTCAAAGACCATTTTTGAGATGAGCAATGCATTGCAAATAGTGGATTTATATTAGTACAGTACAATCCAAATTCGCAATATGGCTTATCGGCTTGATATTTTAATGTTTGAAGATGAAGAATACAGTCATAAATATTTGTATTTTTATAGTCATGATAATTCTGATTATTACTGCAGTCAAATACATGTAAGTGTTTTTCCTTTAGGCCGTTTACTACCCCACAAGTTCTCAGAACAGGCAAAAAGGCTCAGGAGGATGACGCAGGCGAGGATGAGGAGGAAGAGGACAAGGTTTGAATAAACCACTTCCTTTTTTTATTTTAAATTAATTTTGGTCCCTTATGCTAGACTTAGTTTTTTGTTATAGATCACATTTCAGTATCTGCCTTCTTTCTTTTTTTCCCCATGTAAATAGAAATTAGACTGATTTGAAATAAGTTACAGTTTCAGGTTCTCACATTATGCACATTTCCGTTTATTTACGATGGTCTTGTCTTGGGTTATTTTGATCAGAATGAGGCTGTGAAGAAGGATCACTTCGTCCAGGACCCAGCAGTCCTCAGAGAGAGAGCTGAGGCCAGGAGAGCTGCTATGCAAAGCAGGAAAGGGTACGTTTGAGAACATCATGACTGGAATATAGCTACCCTGCACACGTGCACTGGTTATCATGTAATTAATCTAAAACATGGATCAGTCAGTCATTAATTGATTTTACTTGTCTGTTCCTGATAGCTACAGACCACCACCAGCAAGTCATGTGGTAGGTGGGCCA